CTGCACAGTCCAACAAACATGTAATTAAAAACTGCATCTCTAGTAGGCAACTGTTAATTAAAAAAGTGTAATAAGTTGGTAGTTCCTTTTCATTGCTGTTATAGGTAAGTATATCAAGAATTCATAGTGAAGTTAATTACCTGAAGCCTACCTGAAACTATAATGAGGTAACCTGAAACTATAATGAGGTAACAAATGGCCACTCAAACAATTGGAAATAGAGAACTGACTAAGTTTCAGCAGCAGAGGTACTCAGTCATTTAGGATTCTATATGTTTAGAAATGGATTCTGATCTCACACCTCTCAAATAATTTTAAATTAACTATTTTGTAAAATACCCAAAGCAAACATGTAGAGCAAATGCTTTTCCTGCTTCATTTTGTGTCTTGTCCAAGACTGCACAGTGAATAAATCTGTTGCATCTTGATGTATAGTTTGTGCGTTCCAGTTTATTTTTATTTAGTCCAATGAGCCTAATTCAAATGTTGCCTTTTTTTGTGTGCTGATTTTTCCTTTCCTCTTTGGTTATCCTTCAGAGTTTGGTAGTTTTTGCAACTACAATGTGAATATTTTATTTCTTTCATTTGTATGTCTTAGTGTCCTACTGTGGATATTAATCAGACTGTTTCCCTTGCTAAATAGGTGTAATTTATGCTATTGCTTACTGATTTATAGTCTTGTGTAATCTTTATTCATTACAAAATTACTGTCTTATTATGTTGTCCTTTTCACCAGCATGGCTGATGGGTGTGGTTCTATAACATCAGGTACTTCTTCAGATCAGTTCTGGCTTATGTATTGATATTCTGTTCTACGGTGCATTTTAATATTTGAAATGAATATTCCCTTAACACCTGAATTCAGACTATTGTTTTCAAGTGTACAGACATGAGATGTAGATTTGGTCATTTATGGAAATGAAGACTAACTGTTGTTGAATACCAACTTCATAAAAAACATGATTCAGTGATGTCTGTAGAAAAAGGACACAATTTCTGCTAAGATTTTGGAGGGAATTTATGTGGGTAAAGTAGTGGGGATATTTACCAAATTGTAACTCAAAAAGCTGGGCTTTAGGAAAGTTGAAAATATTTTAGAGTTGGGACAAAAAGATCAAAGTTGTGTAAGGGTGTGTTCAGAATTATTATGATAGTGTGGGGCTTTAGAAATTGTGCCATTTGTTTCTATATACCTTTGAAACCCAGAAGACAGAATCTAAATCCGTGGAAGTTCTTTGAAGTTTTGATGTTACAAAATCATCCCTTGTCAGTTGTAAAAACTGACTACAAAAGTAAGAAGAATGTTGAAGATCAACATGGCTGAGAGAAGTGAGCAAGCTAAAGGAATATTTCTTTAGGTTATAGGATGTTTTCAGTGGCTTAAGCCACAGAAATTCGAAAGGTCCAACTAGAAAAGTAATACTCGACATTTTAATCTTAAATTCACAACCATTTTTTCACTTTTCTCAATCAAAAAACTTTTCAGTTCAGCTGACTGAGTTTGGCAAAGTTAGCAGGGAGCCAAATTTAGACTTGTGACAAGAAGCTATCTTTAGACTTAACTATGGAGAGACTAGCATCTCTGCAATTTTACACTCACTTTAGATTAGAGTCACATCGAAATGTGTTGCTGTGGTCCAGGTCAAATCTTGACAAGTGTGCTAAATAGGAAAATAATGTCTGTGATAGCAATTTAGAAAAGGAATCTAATAGTTTGAGGTCCACAATCAGAAGCTGAGAAGGAAAAAATATGTGATATGTTTGATCATATTTTAGCAGGTATTATTTGAACTTGAATGTTTAGGTTGATTGTCCAGTTTTGAGTACAACTATGGTAAATACAACAATGGCATTTATCCGCATTTATTTTCTATTAATCTGTCTTTTAATTTTTTTCTTTTGTTTTGTTTTAAGCAGATATGACTCCATCCTCAAGATTATTACCTTTTACTTTTTCTAAAGAGAACTTATCGTGAAAACCATTAAGAATTTAACCTTGGAGGGTTAGATAGTACGTAGATACTTGGAAAGCTGTCTGTAGACAGGTTTTGTAGTAAATATGTTAAGTTGGATGTCATAAACATAAAAGCATCAATATAAGAAATAGGGATTTCTCAAAAGTAATATTACTGAGTTTTATCTATGTTAACAATCAGTTTCTTCCCTAGATCTGTGCTATTATCACTGTCTGCTGTTGTAATGATCATTAGCATTTCAGACGATTCAGAGGCTATCTAGGAAAAAATTGAGAGTCCTCTGTGTCTTCACCTGTTTCATCATCATCCTCCATTCAGTTGTGTTTTGGCTATATCTGTAGAAAGTTACACAAATTGTTCAGTGATTAATTTAGCACATTTGCAAATAATTTGCACATTATTGAAAGTTCAAGTTAACTAAGAAATAAGTAAGTAATAAAGAAGAGTGTGATAGCAATTAAAAACCTTTTGCTTCAACAAACTGAAAAGTAAACATTCATATTTATTTGTAAGAGACAGGAGAATTTCCATGCTTCCTTAGGAGCATTAATTCTGCCTTAATTTATTCTTTAAATCCAGAAGAGAGAACAAGTATGAAAGCAATTTAGCTGTGTGTTTCTTCATAATTTCTGTTTTCTGCTGACTACCCTGGAGCTGAAACTTTTAAGACATACCAGATTTCAAACTCCATGTTGTTCCTGTATATAGTTACTCTGCATTCATTACAGTAATAAAACCATTGGAACAATAAGCTTTAACAATGATGGATTTTTGGCAAATTGTTCCCAAACATTCAAAAATCAAGTGAATCCCCCAAAATAATGATACACAATATTGTATTCTTTTATTTGCCTTTCCCTTTAAAGGGAAAAAGGAATTTTATTTATTTATTTATTTACTTAGAAAGTGGTGATCCTAGGATATCTAAAGACCAGCAGAGGCTAAGAAAAGCTAAACTATTGTGGAATATGTGATGCAATTATACAATTTTGCAGTAGTGTATGCAATATTCTTGTTGATCTAAAGGGCAATTCAGGATTTGTATTAGACACAGGTGATCATTCAGAATGAAGGCATAGTGAAGTCTGCATTTTAATGGATCAATAGAAGGTTATCATATGAAAATCCAGATTTATTCTTGGCTGCCAGTTGACATATCCTGTGACTTTATGTTTCTTTCACATGACGTATAGTTACCCTCCATAAATCATTGTTTTATAAGATACACATTGAAGTATTTCCCTTAATCTACTTGAAAGTCACTTTTAGCACTAATTGATGGCTAATTTTGCTTGGTGGGAACCATAATTTCCATAGGTTAGGTTTAAGAATCATTTGAACTGTAAAGAAATGAGTGAAGCTTTTCAGAAAAAAAAAAAAGTTATTAAATTACCTATCACTGTGTACAAGTGGGAGTCTGTGTTAATGAGATTATAAGGACCTTTTTCTGTTATTTAAGACAGACCTAATTCTCTTATTTAAGCAAAACGTTTTAAAGCTCAGTGTATTTGTACAACCCCAAAAGACACAGATTGTCTCAGACAGTTTTAATTCCCACTCTGTTGTATTTTTCTATAATTGCTTTGGGTGAAATGTTGCCCTCGAGTCTCCGTCTTGGCACTGAAATCAGCGGGAGTCACATGAGTTCTACAAGGGCTGTAACTTGGAATTTAGTGAGCAGTGAATCAGCCTGACTCCTATCACAACAGTTTTCAACATTTATCTAAAGGAAGAGTTGTTTAAAGTGGTGTGTCTCTGAGATCTAAAATGCTGGTCAGAGCTGATTCAAATGATCTTTGCAATCAGAACTTCAGCATAAGTTGAAAAACAAATTTGAAATAAACCTTTCTTTTTTCCAAAAACTGAGTTGCTCAGATCAAAGTAAATATACTTTTAATGTAAATTAAAATAATATTAAATTAAATTAAATGTCCCACGAAGTCTTGTCTGCTGTACATACTTACCAGGTAGTACTGCCTTAAATCCTCCCTCCTACCCCATGCTTTTGTATTCTAGGACAGGACAGCATTTTAGGGTGTTTCTGACTCAGGATTTATGCAGACACAATACAGTGATAGAAGCTTTTACATTTATGCCAGCTTTCCAAAAATAGCATCTACACATCCTACCGGTGTTCTACTATGTTTAAGATACAATGTTACCAATTCAGTAAATCATTTATAATACGTACTTATGAAAGCAGAACGGTACAGAGAGATCTAACTGTGCAATTTACCAAAATAAATAACTTTTATGTTAGCTAGATCTTCCAGTTTATCATAGTGTACCACATAAAAATTTTTTAGGACCTGAATCTTTGCATCCTATGTATTATCTGAGAGTAAGCTACAAAGTCAGAGAGAAAGCAGCTTATTTTCCAGTAGCTGCATGGGATTTTTAATAGCACTATCAATAAGTAAAACAGTATTTTAAATACAATAAAACCTAATTGTGTATGCACTAAAATAATGAATAAGTACCACAGTAGAGGACTTCTATGTACATGTTTTTCTTAACAAAAACCACTTAAAACGTATGTTGCAGTTACTAACAGACGGGAAGTTGACAGAAAGCTAGCGCCTCATTTTACACACAATTCATAGCCTTTTGGCACTGTTTTCCTACAACGCCAGTTTGGCATCCATTGTCTTCTGTAGGAAAGAGT